TCGACACGCCCCCATGTGACACTCCTGGACGGCGGCAGGTTTGTCCAGATGAGCACACTCAGCGGCCGGGACAACAGTGAAATCGTTCTCCGTCTTCTGGACACAAATGATGTCCCGTCGCTGAGAACCACTGCCGCACAGGACGTTACACTGGGACAAAGACAAAATATTCATTCATGATAAATAAAAAACAGGTGATAATTAAACACAAATAAACAGAACTCGACCTGTGGTTATTTGTCTTTTTGTTCCAGAAATAAACAGAAATGTCATATTTAGGAATTATCATTTATCAATTCAACAATTAATCATGATTAATCCACAACTAGCCTGTGATCGAACAGTCAACAAATTTAAATAGTTTGACGGAACTAGTCAAACAATTATTTTAATAACAGTGTTTGATGGACTACAATTGATAAAGGGACATTCAGACAAATACAAGCTCTTTGATAACCTGATTGGAGGTTCTCGTCATGTGACTTTTCTGTCCTAACACAGGGTTTGAATATCTCCTCCGTCCTCACCTGAGTCCAGGGGCTGGAGTACCAGGTCACCGTTGACACACAGGGGCCTCCGTTACAGGCCTTCATCTCTGCTGGTTTGTCTCCCACACAGTCGCCCCCTCCTGCTCCTTCTCTGACCCCTCCTCTGGTCAGACACACCACCTCCCTCCTCTGGACCCCGGGGCCACACTGAGCCGAACACTGACAGGAACAAAGTGGAGCTTCCTGTTGGAGGAGTCTGTGAAGTGCTGCGTGTGTGTGTGTGTGTGTGTGTTGATATAACTCACAGTGTTGGACCAGCCAGTGAAGTACCAGTTGGTGACACACGGCCCCATGTTGCACTCCTCACTCCCCTGTGGCCGCAGCCTGGAACTGCACTCCACGTCGTTCACCACGCTGCCTTGATCGGTAACACAGCGCACGCTTCTCGTTCTGCGTCCCACTCCACAGTCCACTGAGCACTGGAACGACGACAGTCACAGAACGGAACACGGTCGGTGACTAAATCTGACATTTTTGACAACTTGAGCAACGTGTAAATGGTCAAATTCCTACAAAAAATAATGTGATTACATCATAATTTTGATTTTTTTTTCTGTTACAAATGCACCTTAATTTTTTTTTCACACAATACAATGTTTTTTCATATTTTCTAATATTAGCATGAAGTCTGACAGTAAACTTTAACTTTAACCAAATGTCTGTTCATTGTTACAAAATTGTCCGCACAATACAATGTTTTTTCACTAATATTAGCATGAAGCCTGAGTAAACTTTACTTTAACCAAATGTCTGTTCATTGTTACAGTAACAGGTCAAACATCACGGCTCATCAGAAAATGAAAACAAAAAGAATGACGCGTCCAGAGAAATGACTTGCAGACAGGAGTAAGCAGACTTGGTCTAAAAAACAACAACCAATGAATGAACCAACAGTCCCTCAGTCAACATGTCTCTCGTACCGTGCTCCAGTCCGAGCTGACCTCCCAGTGGGAGCAGAGGCGGAGCTGGCAGGGCTGCGTGGACTCAGGCGGGGTGAGGAAGGCGCAGCGCTGAGGGTGGACCATGGTGGAGCGGTTCCCGAAGGTCTGTCTGCACTGGAGCTGCCTCTGCTGTAACCCTCCGCCGCCGGGG